ATTGAATATTTACCGCGTACTTGATAAAAATTTTTTCAAATATTTCATTTCTCGCGCGCAACTGACACTCAAAATAACTCGTTACTTGAGTCGTTTTTTCTGAGAAAATGGTTCACTTTACAAAGAAAGTGGTAAAGAACTTTTTTGTTCAAAATCGTGTCAGCTACATTTTTTGTTTGAAACTTTTTTTTTTCCATGCACAGATTTCTGGGAAATCGATGTTTTCCGTTTTTTACCCCCTTTAGGGGGCAATTTCTGAAGAAGCCCGGGGGTACGAGTGGTAAACTTTTTTGCATCTTTTTTGGGGACTACTAATGTACATTCACACAAAATTTCAGCCAGGTCGGATCATTTTTAGATGTCAGATCTCTGACGACTGGACTAATTTTATTTGAATATAAATGTTTTCATTATCTTATAGAGAGTGAAAGATTTCAACGATTTGTGATCAGAAAATTTGTCGATTTGGAGATGAAAATAAACCGAATTGATTATAACGTTGACGCAATTCTTAATTTTAAAAAGCTTGCTATTTCTAATGTTGAGATGGAAGACAAAGAAAGTATTGATATTTTTCAAGAATTACCAATAAAAGATAATGTTAATCTAGAATTAATAGAAAGAAAATTAAAGAATGATATATACTATAGAAACGAAATGGTAAGTTTAATGTCTATAATTTAAAGAAAATTTATTACAAAGTATCTTATGAAGGATTTTTGCAAATGCATTTTTATGTACAATTGCAGATTTTACGTTGATATCTTTCTTATTTCGGAAGGTTTTTATAAAGATGTTTTTACAAAGAACAGTTGTTTTAAAATAAAATTACATTGATATATTTTGTGTGATTGTCGAAGTTATATATTATAATTTTACATTATGTAGATTTCGAATATAATAAAATGTTAATTTGAAATAATTGCAGATTAAGTGCAGTTGTCACGTCTAACTCGTGATGATTTAAAAGGTACTTGTGTAGGAATCATGAGAGCAGTTATATCTAATGAACTTGCTGTAAAGTACAGTTGGTATGGAGTAAAAAAGAAACAAGTTTTTTCGCAACTAGAGATATGCAAAGTCATTTTGAGTAAGTAAAATACTTATAATCCATTTTCGTATTTTTAAGGGTCAATTTCACAACTCATGGTTAACTCTTAACCAAGGTACAACTTATTTCTCATCTCTTTCTAATCTTAGAACTGAAAAGAGATAATGGATAAATTGAACCTTGGTTAAGAGTTAACCATGAATTGTGAAACTAGGCCTAAGCAATTGATTCCTTTATAAATTTATATATTTGTAAGTGTCTTTAGTATTTACTTATTCAATTTATTAAATGTATTTATAAATATTAATATTTTTTTTTTCTTGTTACAAATAAAGCATATATAGTCTCTTAATTTTAATTGCATTACAGATATTTTTTCCAGTTTATAAAGAAATAATGAAATAAAAACTTTTTTCTCTTTCTAGATGTAATTCGAAAGTCACACACAGATGCAACAGACGAGAAGATCTCTGCTCCAATTAAAATATGGCTGGCTCACGCAAAAGAACGTATTGAAAGACGAGCTGAACACGTAGCAGTAAATGAGGCTGAAAACATAGCTGAAAACGTAACAGTAAACGCAGCTGAAAACGTAGCAATAAACATAGCTGAAAATGTTATAGTACATTAGCCCTAACTTTGACAATGAGCCGAGTACATCCACGAAAGTTATGCAGGATGAAAGTAGCGAAGAGGAAATATATAGTCATTGGATTACAAAACTTATATATCAGCTTGATATTTCCGATCACAACACCGACTTAAACGAGAATAACGATGAAGCAACTGAATGCACAGATGAGACATCTGAAGTGTTGATCACTTCTAGTGTTTCTAGTGTTTCAGATAAAAACTGATCCGAATTTAATGAAAACTTAGATTTAATAAAAATTGAATATTGAAGAGAAATCAGAAAACTGACATATGAAAACTACACATTGATATGTCGCAATATTTAAATTTGTATCTAAGGAAAAAGAAAATACGGATAATAACTGATCAAATGCATTGCAAAACAATTAATTTATTACTTCGTATTATATATATGCTAATTATTATTTAAATATATAAAATTTTTTTACATTGTTATCCTAAAAAATAAACTAATCTCTGATCTGTTAGTTTAATTTCCAGAAATCGAACATCTATCAAAAACAGATTCCTTAATTTGTACCGTTAAATAAAGTTTCTTTATTTTTTATTTGTCTAAAAAATTTAACTCTTTATAAATTAAAAAAAAACAAATATAATTTGTAATTGTTTTATCCTAAGTTTTTCTTTCAATTTACGATTATAAATACAAATTAAAAATATATATAAAATATATAAAATATAAATGTAATCCAATGACTATTATAGAAAATATGTATAACCTATTATAAGTTCTACAAATTATAATAACTCTTTTATAAACCCTTATTTTCGTCTATTTTTACCTTATATATATATATATATATATATATACACACACACATGTCCGTTTACATATTTTTATTATTTATATTAAAAGAGATGCGATACATTACCTACATGTTTATTACAAACACTAACATATATGTATATGGATATATACACACATCATATGTATATGTGTATGTGTGTAAAATTTGATGATTAAAATATTTTTTTACAAAAAAGCATAAATTGTTCTTGAGGCTTCCACGGGTGCTTTCTGTATAAAGGTTATGCGTTTCGCGAGTTTCCTCCGTGTCCAGATCCATTCTTGAGATGCTAACGTTTCGTAAACCTTGCAGTCCACTTTATCAGGGCGAGGAGCAGCCTGATACTGATAGTACGAAACGTTGGCATGTCAAGAATGGATCTGGACACGGAGGAAACCCGCGACACGCATAACCTCTATACAGAAAGCATAAATTATTAAAACCTAACCTAACTAACGATAAGCTGCGTTTGTCGTGGGTATATACGCATAATATATTGACGATATCGAATAGATATACTACTAGATGTTTTCGTGATGTCGTACGAACTAAACGAGGCGAGCATACGAACATCAATAGTAAATACATGATATATCGCAGTATATATCTCGAATAGTCTGAGTATATCCACAATATACTTTGTAGATATCTATACGACGTTCTTAGAATGTATTTGTGCTATCTGGGTTATGAGGAATAACGTTTTTTTTTATTTTCACTGGACCTCCCATCATTATATAATACTAATAATTTTCAATATCTTCTCGTAGCTATAAATATAAAATATTTTTTAGACACATAAGAAATTAGATTAAGAGTTATTAATAGCTAGATGAAATGCTGTCAAAAAGAAAATAATTTGATTATTTAACATATACTTAGGCTATTAAAATGTTTACTTACATTGAAATGGTCTTCACAGCAAAAGAAGTTCGATTTGCTGTTTTTGAGGTTATCTCTTCGAACGGCATTAAACCATTTCTGACGAAGTTTCACGTCTTGTGGCACTGTTGCGAACACTTTATTTGGTGTACTTTTGGTTGTATTACTACAGAGAGGAACGAAACACGTCCTATATGTTTTAATTGTTGCCATTTCTATTGAAAGATCAAAATCTCAATAAATAGCAAGAAGATAGATATCGTACATGGCATGTAACATTGTGACGTCACAGACTGCTCGGACAACTTCGGGCATGATCGGTGCGTCGTCGGCAATGAGTTTGAAATAATATTTTATAAAATCGAAATCTTCGTCAATATTGCGAAAAAAAAACAAAAAGGACGTTTTTCTATAAACTTTTTGTATAAAAAACGTTTTAAATATAAAAAAAAATTTCGTTCAACAACCCAATTAGAAAATTGTCATTGTTGCATAAATTCATTAGCAATGTGTCTCCATACTTCATGTGTTGGTTGCGGCAGGTAAAGAGGTTGCAGCACATCCCATATGATTCGACACACTTCAGGTAGAATTTTGAACGCCGTTGATCTCCCAATTCTGAATTCAGCTTTTTTTGAAAACATGCTATCCCCATGAGCTAAGTATCTGAATAAAAAAAACCTTTAAGGATACATATTGAGTTAAAAGTGAAATTAGGCACTAAGAACATAATCTATACTTACGATAAGGTCAAAACCAGCCTCAGCTCTGGATGTAGTGGACGACGACGACTCCTCTTTAACAACCGAGGGCGAACGAGTTTATAGAGATTTTTGAACAGATATGGCCACATTCTCTGGTCCAGGCAAAAAATTCTTCGTGGTCTGTTTCCATCAATTCATGAAAATAGGTTAAATGGAACCCTTTGGAATTTCGTTTTTCTTCACTGTTCACTGGTCGCACCCACCATCTTCTGCTATTTGATTTACCGAACAAACGCATATATAGAGATAATAAGTTTAGAAATTGCGAGCAAAGTTGTAAAAACTGCATTAATATTTGTTGCCGGTCCATTTTAACCTAGCAAACAATCCTTGCGACTGTTGTAGACGCTTATTTAGACCCGTTCTACAATAAAGGTGCCTTTTCACGCTGAAAATGAGCGTCTAGCGTCAGCGTGAAATCGCACCTTTAGTCGGATGACGGAGTCGGGTGTCGTGCGCATGCGCGCTGGAGTGTCGGCTGTCGAATGAAGTTGTCGCGAATCGGCAATCGGTGTCGGAATGGAAGATGGTCAACTTCCATCTTTTTCCGTTTACGACAACGACTGGATGAAATATAACCTTTTTTGACGGATACATCTATGGCTATTCAAATATTTACTGCTAATACTGTTAAATAAGATTTAGATATTTTATCATGGAATCATTAAATCTTGATGAAATTATTATTGAATTTGTTCGTGAAAATCGTTGTTTATATGACAAACGCGATGTGAATTTTAAAAATATTAGGAAGAAAAAAGATCTGTGGCAAAAACTTTCTGAAAATTTGAGAAATTGTTATACACTAAATATGTCAGGTAATTGTTTGTTTTTTTAAATTATTACATAACATATAAAAACAAAACATATAATACATAATTTTTTTTAGTCGAAGAAATCGAAAGACGGTGGTCATCTTTAAGGGACATGTTTAGCAGAGAGAATAGGCGACAAATGTTACCACCTTCTGGTTCTGGATATGAACCGAGGAAGGAATGGGAGTTATATAGAAATATGTTGTTTCTAGTTCCTCATATAGCTCATAGAAAGCTAATATCTAGCTTTTATACTTTTATTTATTTGTTAGTACTTATTTTCTACACTTTTCTAATTTTCTAATTTTATTTATAGAACAAAGACATCATTTGTTCAACAATCACAAAGTTCATTACCCCAAACAAGTACAGCAGATACTTCCTCACCGTTTACATCTAAGCAATCTTCGAATGTGATAACTTCCTCACCGTTTACATCTAAGCAATCTTCGAATGTGATAACTTCCTCTAAAAAATATCCCTTATAATTGTGGAAAGCACTACCCGAATTTGGTGGAGCTTGAATTCGGCAATGTTTCCCATCAATTGCTCCAAGACAATTGGAAAAATTCCACTTATTATTGTACTCATTTGCGATTTTTAGCCACTCATGTGCTTCTTGTGGACATCGGAGGTATGTTGGTTGCAATACTTCCCATATACCATTACAAACTTCGGGAATAATGCTGTATACAGTTGATCTTCCTATTCGATAAAATAAAGAGGTAGTGGTCACGCTATCTCCATGAGCGAGAAAACTAAAAATAAATTTAAATTTGTTGTGTATGTGTAAAAATTCATAATTTTTAGAACAAATAAAGTGTAGGTAATCTATATTAATAATATTCGCAACAGAGAATAATTGTTAAACTAACCTTAATGTCACCGCAATACGTATCTCCGTTGGTAGA